GGCTGCAGAAGATAGAATATTGCTGAACAGCGAGTGTACTTGTCTGATTCTTGCTTTGGAAGCTTCGTCTCAGGGGTATATCCCGCCGTGTGAGGTGTGGGGTGTCAGTCTGCCCGTAGTGGGGGATGTCTCCCAGTTGGGCTACTCAGGGGTCAGGGAGCCGCTTGAGAAAGCAGTCTGTCCGTTCTCAGATCTCAACCTTTGTGTTGGGAGATCCACTGCTCTCTTCAAAGCTGTCAGACAGGGTTGTTTGCATCTGCAGAGGTTTCTGCTTTTTTTGTTGTTGTTTAGCTGTGCCCTGTCCCCAGAGGTGGAGTCTACAGAGACAGGCAGGCCTCCTTGAGCTGCTGTGGGCTCCACCCAGTTCAAGCTTCCTAGAGGCTTTGTTCACCTACTTAAGCCTCAGCAATGGCGGGCGCCCCTCCCCCAGCCTTGCTGCTGCCTTGCTGTTAGATTGCAGACTGCTGTGCTAGCAATGAGGGAGGCTCCGCGGACGCGGGACCCTCCCAGCCAGGTGTGGGATATAATCTCCTGCTGTGCCGTTTGCTAAGACCCTTGGTAAAGTGCAATATTGGGGTGGGAGTTACCTGATTTTCCAGGTGTTGTGTGTCTCAGTTTCCCTGGCTAGGAAAAGGGATTCCCTTCCCCCTTACACTTCCCAGGTGAGGTGATGCCTCGCCCTGCTTCAGCTCTTGGTGATCGGACTGCAGCAGCTGACCAGCACCGATTGTCTGGCACTCCCTAGTGAGATGAACCCGGTACCTCAGTTCAAAATGCAGAAATCACCCGTCTTCTGTGTTGCTTGCGCTGGTAGCTGGAGACTGGAGCTGTTCCTATTCAGCCATCTTGCTCCGCCCCCTCTGATGATAGTTTCTTTTGCTGTGCAGAAGCTTTTACTTGGATCCTATTTGTCAATTTTTGCTTTTGTTGCAATTGCTTTTGACATTTTCATCATGAAATCTTTGCTCGTGCCTATGTCCCGAATGGTATTGCCTGGATTTTCTTCTAGGATTTTTATAGTTTTGGGTTTTACATTTAAGTCTTTAATCCATCTTGAGTTAATTTAAGTATTTAATCCACCTTGAGTTAATTTTTGTATAAGGTATAAAGAAGAAGGGGTATAGTTTCAATTTTTTGCATATGGCTAGCCAGTTCTCCCAGGAACAAGGAATGGGGAAAGGATAGGGAATCCTTTCCCCATTGCTTGTTTTTGTCAGGTTTGTCAAAGATCTGATGGTTGTAGATGTGCAGTCTTATTTGTGTGTTCTCTGTTCCGTTGGTCTGTGTGTCTGTTTTTGTACCAGTACCATGCTGTTTTGCTTACTGTAGCCTCCAGCTGTGTTCTTTTTGCTTAGATTGTCTTGGCTATATGGGCTTTTGTTTTTATGTTCCGTAAGAATTTGAAAGTAGTTTTTTCTAATTCTGTGAAGAATGTCAATGGTAGGTTAATGGGAATAGTATTGAATCTATAAATTACTTTGGGCAGTATGGCCATTTTCATGATATTGATTCTTCCTATCCATGAGCATGGAATAGTTTTTCCGTTTGTGTCCTCTCTGATTTTCTTAAGCAGTGGTTTGTAGTTCTCCTTGAAGAGATTCTTCACTTCACTTGTTAGTTGTATTCCTTGGTATTTTATTCTCTTTATGGCAATTGTGAATGGGATTTCACTCATGATTTGGCTCTCTGCTTGCCTGTTGTTGGTATATAGGAATGCTTGTTTGATTTTTGCACATTGATTTTGTGTCCTGAGACTTTGCTGAAGTTTCTTATCAGCTTAAGAAGCTTTTGGGCTGAGACAGTGGGATTTTCTAGATACAGGATCATGTCATTTGCAAACAGAGACAGTTTGGCTTCCTGTCTACCTATTTGAATACTTTTTTTTTTTTTTTTTTTTGGAGATGGAGTTTTGCTCTGTCGCCCAGGCTGGAGTGCAGTGGCAGGATCTCGGCTCACTGCAAGCCACCTCCTGGGTTCACACCATTCTCCTTCCTCAGCCTCCCGAGTAGCTGGGACTACAGGCACCCGCTACAATGCCAGGCTAGTTTTTTGTATTTTTAGTAGAGACGGGGTGTCACCGTGTTAGGCAGGATGGTCTCGATCTCCTGACCTCATGATCCGCTTGCCTTGGCCTCCCAAAGTGCTGGAAATACAGGCATGAGCCACCGTGCCAGGCCTCGAATACCCTTTGTTTCTTTCTCTTGCCTGATTGCCCTGGCCGGAACTTACCTTTTTTTTTTTTTTTTTTTTGAGACGAAGTCTTGCGCTATTGCCCAGGCTGGAGTGCAGTGGTGCGATCTCAGCTCACTGCAAGCTCTGCCTTCTGGGTTAACACCATTCTCCTGCTTCAGCTTCCCGAGTAGCTGGGACTACAGGCGCCCGCCACCACACCCGGCTAATTTTTTGTGTTTTTTAGTAGAGATGGGGTTTCACCGTGTTAGCCAGGATGGTCTTGATCTGAGCTCGTGATCTGCCCGCCTCGGCCTCGCAGAGTGCTGGGATTACAGGCGTGAGCCACAACACCTGGCCCAGAACTTTCAATACTATGTTGAATAGGAGTGGTGAGAGAGGACATCCTTGTTTCGTGCCAGTTTTCAAGGGGAATGCTTCCAGCTTTTGCACATTCAATATGATACTGGCTGTGGATTTGTCATGAATGACTCTTATAAAAAATTTTTCATACACATGTTTTTGTTTGTTTATTTTAGAGAACGAGTGTTGCTTTGTTGCCCAAGCTGGAGTGCAGTGGCACAGTCATGGCTTGTTGCAGCCCTGAAATGCTGAACTCAAGTGATCCTCCCAGCTTACTCTGGGTAGCTGGGTTTACAGGCACAGGTCACCACACCCAGCTAATGGTTTGATATTTTTGTAGAGATGTGTTCTTGCTGTGTTTCCCAGACTGGTCTCAGTCTCGTGGGTGCAAGCAATCCTCCCACCTTTGCCTCCCAAATTTTGGGATTACAGGCATGAGCCACTGTGCCTGGCAACATCTTAATGACTCTAAAATATGGATGAGGGATCAAAGAAAAGTTCATTCAAATCCTGATTAATGAGTCTTTACAATTTCTCTAAAACTTCCAAGCAAAATCCAAGGTAGTGCCTTGCACATGTCGCTTGACAAAGCAGTGACATATGTACCCTTGTGTTTTACTCTAACCGTAAACTGTGAAGAACAGAATGCTGCTTTGGAGCCTCATACTCAGCCCTGTGTAGAAGAGATTCATATGTAGAAAGTAAATGAAGTCCCCAAAGTCATACAGTCAGTGAAAAACCTGGAACTAAAATGCAGACCTGTTTCCTGTCTCCATTTGTTTCTCGAAACTTAGGGTTTTTTCCAGCAATTAATGCTCAGTGTCAGGAGACACATTCTTCCTCACTGTGGCATCGGTAAAAAGGGCTGGAGTTTTAAGAAGCTGGTGAAATTAGGGGCATTTGACAGGTTTTATTAAGCTTTGGTTTAATAACAGGCCTACCTCTAACTGATACACATGTGACTTATTTTGGTTGACCTCTTATTGTTCAGCAAGTGCTTCTTCAATTTGGAGAATATATCCATATAACCGTTCACAAGTGGCCCCAGCCGAGGTCTGTAAGGATGATGACTATTTTAAGAAAATGCTTTTTTGGCAAGAAGAAAAATTTTCTAACCTACTCCTACTTCCTGTTACTCAAAATCTTCAAAAGGATGTTAAAGTAGTTTTTGATTTATGTTACATTGTGATGTCACCTAAAAAATCCAAGGCGGTTGTTATATTACACTGCCTAAAATGATAATTCCTGTTTGCTATCTTTAAAAAATCGTGAGAAAAACGAAATTTAGAAAGCTCGGTGGTGATACTTTAAAATTAGGGCTTAGGTTAAATATTTATTATTTTTTTGAACGTGACAAGAACATCTTAAGAAAACACACAGCTAAGAAATACAGTGGCAACAATTCATATAAATTAGGTTATTAACTAAGCTACCAAGACCTTTAAAGGCAATTAGTTACTACTCCTGAAAGGGTTCTAATATAAATCTTAAGATGTAGGCATTATTTATGTAGTGGTACAAAAAAAAGTCATGCTCTATGTTGGGTTAATATCTATTCACTTTTATTTTGATTATTCAAGGAGTCTATAAGACTAAGCCTCAAAAAATAGTGTAATAGTTAGTGAAATATATAAAGGGATAAAATCAGTTGAGCTTCTTTGGGACACTTAGGGAAGAACTGTGTGGCCAAGTGTGTATGCATTGAGAAGCAAGTCTAATTGTATGGAATTCTGCTTACTGAAGAACTAGGAATGAATCCGTCATTAGAAACACTTATATTATTGATTAATAATTAGCAAAACCTTAGTTTTCAGTACTTTAGTTTTAAAAAGCATCATTGGGTGCTACTGCTACGACCTGAGTCAAATAAGTCAAGACATGTCTCTTCTGTGGGTTCTTTGTGATCATGATTGTTGACCCAAATTCATCTTGGAGTAAGTTTGACTTGAAAGTTCTCAGTGAATTGTGCTGAACCTAAATATTCTTTTCAAACTATAGCATCTGCTCTGTATTTACAAACTGAAATAACTACGGATGTCAAATGAAAGAAGATTCTATTTCCTTTAGAAAATATTTTTTTTTTAGAAGTTTGCATCAAAAATCTTTTTAGAGGCCGGGTGCAGTGGCTCGTGCCTATAAACCCAGCACTTTGGGAGGCCAAAGCAGGAGGAGGCCAGGAGCTCAAGACCATCCTGGGCAACATAGCAAGACCCTGTCTCTGCAAAAAAATTAACATGATTAACTGGGTGCAGTGGTGAGCACCTGTAGTCCCAGCTACTGGGGAGGCTGAAGTGGGAGAATCACTTAAGCCCAAGAGGTCAAGGTTGCAGTGAGCTGAGATCACTGTACTGCACTCCAGTGTGGGTGCCAGTAAGACCTCTGTTTAAAAAAAAAAAAATTAAAAATATTTATTTATGTTTATGTTACGGGAAAGCCAATGTGTAATTGTTGCCATTTCTTCCACCCAGTGCCCTGCCAGACCGTTTTAGATTACTTGAAGACGGTTCTGCAGCACCACAACCAACTCCTGATACCACAGCCAGCCGACCAGCCAACTGAGGTAGGTCTCTAGGGAAAAGATAAATGTTCCATTTGGGATTCCCTTAAGATGAAGTCTCTTGATAATTTACCAGTGTATACCAGAACAGAATGGCTAGCAAAATAGATTTTGACTGAGGTTTACAGGTCTGTTACCTGTAAGTATGTAATTTGTGGAGAAAGATGACACACGTATTTACAGAGATTCAGCTTCGTACTGAGTGGGGAGAGACAGAGGTAATGACAATTTAAACAGCATGGGCAATTTTTCCACCGTTCTGTTTGCACAGAGATGCCTGAAATGAGAGACACCAACTTGTCATTCCCTCAGACAGAGCCTGTGTTCCACATGCCCCTCACTCTGGGCACCTCACAAACTGGGCACGATTCTCCAGTGTGTAGGTAGGCGTTTTCCAGACGTCAGGGCCTCTGGATATGGGTTATTTTTTTCATCTGGGTTTCAGTGGAAGAAACCACAGTCTCTCCCAATCTATAGAAGAAATTATGTGTTTTAATAGTAATAAAGATGGTATATACTTATAAGATGTTCAAGACTCAGTTTTGAATATATGACTTTCATATAAGACTTGAGAACCGGTGGACAATCCCCACAAGAATCCCCTGGGGAAGCTCTGAGGTTTCCCCCAGCCTAAAAATAAGCCTTCCTTGGATTCTCCTTCTCTTCTGCCGTCATTGCCCTCCTTTCTACTTCCATCTTCTTCCAGGCTCCCAAAGCATCCTGGGTCAGCACCTTCATTCTGCACTACAGCACGTCTTGCTCCTCGAAAGTTCGGCCCGGGTCTCATCTCTAGTGTCATAGAAGACACTCGATTCATGATTGCTGAATGGTGACCTCATTTTTTTCTAATGATTAAACATTTGAACAGCTAGTCTATGTTCTTTATCTTCTCTCTCTTAATTTCCATTTGCTCTTCCCCCCTGTAATCTGGCTTCACTTCCACCACTACCAGAGTTTTCTACAAGAGGCCCCTGGTGACTCTCCAGTTGTCTGGTCCTGTGACCCTTTTTCCACTTTGGTCACCCCACGCCCTCACCTCTCCTCCTCTGTGCTCTCTCTTGCCCTTAGCCTTAGTGTTAGTACTTTCTCCTGGTTCCTTGCTCCTCTTCCTATGACGCCTTCATGAGTTTTTCCATCCACTGTTCTCCAGAGTTCATGCTTTGTCTTTTTCTCTCACTCTCTACTGCCTTTTCTCATCAGCTATGTTTCTTATTTATTTATTTATTTATTTTTGAGACAGGGCCTCGCTTTCTTGCCCAGGCTGGAGTACAGTGGCATGATCATGACTCACTGCATCCTCTACCTCCCAGGCTCAGGTGATCCTCCCACCTCAGCCCCGCAAATAGCCGAGACTACAGGTGTGCACCACCACGCCCAGCTAACTTTTAGTTTTTATAGAGACAGGGTCTCACTATGTTGCCCAGGCTGGTCTTGAACTCCTGAGCTCAAGTGAATCTCCTGCCTCAGCCTCCCAAAGTGTTGGGATTACAGGCATGAGCCTGGGTCCAGTTGTGTGTTTCTTATAACATTCACTAGATGTGTGTTAACAAGTCCCACATGCATACCTAGAGCACCAGTCCCGGTGGCTTCATTGTAGACCACCGTGCCAACTGCCTGGCCCACAGTGGTTTGCCCATACACCGCTTGATCTCACCGCACCTATTCTGAATACCCATCTGCAGTTCCTCCAGTTTTCAATAAAGGCCCCACCAACCCCAGGTAAAAGTTTTGACACATCACTGACCCCCTCATTTCCTACGTCTAAGAATTCTACAGCTATGTTGAGTTGTCTCTCTTTTCCTAGGTTGACTGTCTCACCTGACTATTGCAGCAGCTTCTTTCTTCTCCATTCTCCACACTGGAAAGTTTTTTTTTTTTCCCCCTGAATTACAGATCCAAAGTAAATGTATACTTAAAATCCTTGGCTCCCTAGAATTTAATCCATATTTCCTAACTTGACATTACTGTCATACAAAAAGCACAACTGAAAAGCCCACTTCCTCCAGGAAGCTCTCCCTGACTGCCACACCCCTGCTTTGTGCCTGTGCGGCACACTGTTCATGAGTGTAATTCAGAGCTAGTTACCTTGCTTAATAGTAAATGTACACCTATGTTTTCCATTTGATGATGACTCAAGTAACCCATTAAGGGTGATTCATTTTGTTTTTTTTCAGTGACTCAACAATAGGTCAATGTTTAATAACCTGTGGGTGGCTAATTGAAGAAAATATACAACAAGAATTCTACAAAAATAGGAAGATAGGGGAAATATCTACATTTCCTCTGGATAGGACTACTTAAACTTTATGACTCATCATCATTATGACTGTACTATTTTTATTGTCATTTCAGGCACACAAGCATTTTCTCATTTTTATTATTTATCACATGTTACTTCTATTAACTATGCTAAAACAGGTTTGTAAATCTCATCCATAACCCGGAGAGCATTCTGAATTGTGCTTTGGGCTATAAATTACTTTCTCTTTCTTTCCCTTTTTCTTGATAAAAATTACCTCCAAATGGTATTCTTACATTTTATGAGACCAACATTTTATGCAGAGCTACTGCATTCAGTGGATTTTTTCAAAGTTTTTGGGAAAGCTCCTTTCCTGGATTGTCAGCTGCCAGATCACTAGTCTGTCCCATCTTGAAATAGACCGGTTTCAGGGGCACAGCAAAGCATTGCGTACAGGGTGAACCCTGAACTCAGGGATGGCATCCCCAGCCCCATCCCTTTGAGCTGTGAAGCCTTGGAAAGGGATTTGACCTCCTTGGTAAAACAGAGCTGTAATCCTGGCTTACCAGGTGAGCTCACTCGCCTGAGCAAAACAGCTTTTAAAAATTATATGGTGTTAAATAAACAGCTTAAAAAGCAGCTAGACAGTCTTTTCTAAGGCTGAGGAGTATTTACAGGGACCATAACTAAGAGGATGGTGGAAGTCTTGTTTTTTAATTTAAGGATGGTAGAAGTCTCCTTTTTAGTGGCTCCTCATCTGTGTTGCTCTCCTTAAAGTTCTTTACCTTTGTGAATTTATATTCAGTGGTTAAAAAAAAAGTAAGAATTCTTCATTGTAGCCACCATTACTGGGTGTCTGCTATGTGCCAGCCACAGAGGCCTGTGCTCCACTGCATCAGCCGTTCAGCAAGTGTTTATTGCACCTGCATTGTGTCAGGCGCTGTACTCCGCCCTGAGAGTCTGGCATAGAATAAACAGGTAACAGTTCCAGCTCTCATAAGCTTATCTTCTAGTGGGAGACAGCGGGACTGCTCGCCACAAACCACCAAGCTGGGATTGTCATCTGTATTTTAACAGAAAAGAGTGAAGTTTAGAAAAGTCACCTGCCCAAGGCTGAACCCAGAGCCCAGCTGTAGAATAGACCTAGTACCTCCACCTGTGAGGAGAAAGGAGGGAAGTGTGCAAAGTGCTTGAGGCAGGCGCTTCGGGCTGGTCATCTGTTGCTCAATACATGGGGACGTTTATTAAGCTTCCTCCATGAAAGTACTGGTGACACAGTGAGTGGTTTTGAGTCAGCCAGCCCCCAGATTTCACGCCCCCCCCCCCCCCCCCCCCCCCCAGCCTCCCTGAGGGCCAAGGGGTCAACCATTCAGAGCCCTTAGAAGACCTTTCCTTTCAGTGCGTGGGAAGCAATGGATTTATTTTCCCTGCTGCCGCTTTCCTCCCAACTGTAGCCTCTGTTCCTCATTTTTGTGAAAGACATCACTGTTTGACCTGGGGATCATCTTGCTTCCTCAGTCTCCCGTACATACACCCTGGCCCATGGAATTGGTTGCCTGGCCCCCTCGATTCGACAGCTTTCACTCCCACCTCTCTCTGCCCTGCACAGACTTGATTCAGACCTCCGTCTCTCACCTCCTGCCAGGAAACAGCAACCGGGGCTGAAGGACTTTTTGGGAGCTCTGGGCCCCTGCCCATCTTTTGATTGTCTCTTATACGCGGGGTCCTCCACTGTACCCAGCCAAGGCTGGGCTCATGCTCCCAAATAGTCACATCTTGTACTCATGATAATTCAGTTCCTTGCAGTTGTGTAGTTGGGGAAACTGATCCAACAACTTGAAGTAACTTGCTCAAGTTAGTCTAATAAGACACAGAACCAAGATTCAATTCAAACCCAGCCTGACTGTAAATTCAGAGCACATAGGCGCCTCAGCTGCCTTCCTTAGGAAAGGAGGCCACATCACACTGTTGCTCGTTGAGGAGCGTATGAGTGCTGCCGTGGTGAGTCTCCACGCGCAGAACTCGGTGCCAGTTTCCCAGCCGCATCGGGCTGCCTCCCTCTTGTTGGTTCCTATGCCATTTCCCCTTCTCAGTGCTTAACTAAACAGGGCACTTTTTGAAATAAAACCCTATCAGATCCAAATGGTGCCAAATTTATAACCTGTAGTAAATTTGCCAAGTTGTAAAAATGAATGAGTTTTCCCTTCTTTGTTTTGTACACCTTAATTACTGGGGAAGGAGTACATTAAAACTAAGATCATGGGTTAATTAATTTGTCCTGGACTGTAGAATTTTATGGACAACCAGAACTAAAGTAATGGTTGTGTAGGTGCAATTGATTAAACATGGCTTATAAATGTTACAGAAATTCCCGTAATTAGTCCCACTGCAGCTATTTAGCCCGGGAATTTTATAGCAGACATAAATTATGAAGGTGAAAAGTAAGGAAAATTTTGAGTTGACATAGTGGCATTTGCAGAAGCTATAATTTGAGGAAACCTGTTTTGCATGATTATTAGTGATTTCTTTTTACAGTTTCCACAATTCTCCCTTCTTAAAATTTGCTTTTTAATGTTGTTTCTATTGTAATGCAGTGACTACCAGGTGTTGGGTGCGTTAAACATAAGTAATACCTTATTAAAATAGATCACCAGCATCATTTCGAAAAGTACTTAAAAGTAACCAAAAAAGGAAGGACCTGTTTGATCACACTCTTCAAAGTTTTGCATATTTTAATAGATTGAAAAGGAAAGTTACAGGTTAGATTTAAATAGTGTTCCCTGTCATTGGATCTTGACACATTTGAACCTACCTGTTAAAATGTAAGTTATAAATAGCTCCCCTTTCAAAGGTGTTCATTATACCTCATTGGCTCTTGTTACAGAAAATGCAAATGTAATTTGAAAAGTGCCCCTTCTGAGTCTGAGCAATTACTTGCGCACTTCAATACCTGGTTCATTGTCAGCACAGCCATTTGGTTAAAAAGCGTGTTTGCCTTTGAAATGGAGATCATTTCTGCTTCTGGCTGGCTGACTCGGTGGGTAATGAGAAAATATTTCGCTTTTCCAGGGAAGCAAGCAGCTGTTGAACAACTATCCTGTCTACATAACGAGCAAACAGTGGGATGAGGCTGTAAATTCTTCAAAGAAAGATGGGAGACGGCTCCTTCGATACCTCATCAGATTTGTTTTCACAACCGATGAGCTTAAGTACTCATGCGGCCTTGGGAAAAGGAAAAGGTCAGTGCAGTCAGGAGAGACAGGTCCCGAAAGACGCCCTCTGGATCCAGTTAAAGTAACATGCCTCCGAGGTACTGCATCCTTCCGCTCAGTGTCACCATCTGTGATCTCATTTCACCGCATTGGCTGTGGCTCTCCCCGTACAAGTGTTCAGCCTTACTGTATTTTGATTTCTTTCTGCTGAGAACGTCTAGGCTTCATGTGGCCCATCTACTCAGTATTGAGAAGCTCTTTTAAAAACCTCCGTTTGCCTTAGCATTGTTGTTCTCACTTAGTGGTACATAAGCATCGCATAACACCTCATGTTTCACGCTTCAAATTCAGATTTTCTTTGCTGCCAGAGAAGGCCACCTCCAGCAAAACTGGAGCATAGGGGAACACACAGAGGAAGGGAAGGCGTGGAAATTTTTTTTAATGGGTAAAATGTTACCTCATTTCCAGTTCTAGTTTGTGTCCCCTTCTAGTACCTTCTCAAGAATACTTGGCCCAACTCCTTAAATTTGTTTAGGATTAATTCTCCTTATTGCTAAAATATACCTTGCCCAGTGAAACATTTTTCTTTTGGTTAAAAAAAAAAGTTTCTATTAAATGTACTGCGGAGATAATACGACTTCAGCAGTATTAATAGCTGATTACTTTGCAGTTGATCTGCACTATTGTAGGCCAGGCAGAGGGGTGGGAAGGAGGAATCAGGAGGTATCCGGTTGATTCAGCAAGTGCAAATACAGACCCAGACAAATAGAAGTGTTATAGTGCCAACAAAACATTGTTCACACCTGAAAAGTCCATATCAAAAAGCTCAATATTAGCCTATACAATTCAATGGCAGTTTTATTGACTGGAAAGACTTAATATTGATTTACTCTAAATAGGGATAAAAATTTTTCCTGGTGAGGAAATCACAGTAAAAAAAAAAAAAAAAAGCTGCATTGTCACTGCTAAGGCCCTGGTTATATGAAAGAATACTTCTGCACTCCCTTCTGAGATGCCCACAGTGACATTATGTGCCTAGGATGCACACGTAGTATTGGTTAGCAGCTGAGATTCCCTAGCCCTGCCCCCAGAGATTCTGATTCAGAAGGGATGGGGCAGGCATGCTCAAGACAACCTTAGGGATTTATGCACACATGGCCCACAATTCAGGAAACCACCTGAGATGAAAATGCCTGTGTTTACTAGGCACAAGTGCTCCAGCACACCTCCTATTAGTCGGTCTGAATATTCCACTTACTCAGAGTGACTAGGTGGTAGAAATTTCCAGGGTCTGTCCTGCCAGACTAGCTACAGTTTTCTGTATTCCCTGACATCATCAGAGATGATGGAGTTACTCACCAAGAGGCAGTGTTGAGCTTGGGGGCTTGACTGTGCCCTGTATGTGTGTACTCAAGGGAGTTGCCTTTAGACTTATAAAGGAGTCAAATAAGGGGTCTCATGGCTGTATTGTTTTCCAGAAATTCTTACACAACATTTTATATTTCTATAGCAAGTCAGTGGAAGTGATGGATTAAAATACATCCCAGAAAACTAGTGCTGCTGCTCTGGAAACACTGCAGGAGCCACTGTCACACTGATGCCTGATGCAGCCCAGGCTGCCTAACCAGAGACTGCCGTCTCCAGCTCATTTTTCACTTAGGGCCACAATGCATGGACCTCCATCCAGCTTTTGGGTGGGGAATACATAGGCAAGATATGGTGATTGTCCATGTTGGAGGCAGCTGAAACAGTTCACTCTTCCGGGCATGTTAATTGCTTTGTGGTAAAATTAAATATTTGGAGGAGATAGCATGTAAAAAATATTTGCCAGCCCATGTATAGAAATGACATTTTCGGAAATAAGTATAGCTAATCACACGACATTCTAAGAACATGGGTACCTTTTCTGAACTAACACTTAGGCACCTCCTCAGTCATTAAGACTGTTGTTTTATTGTACTCCATCTTCAAATTAGTAGCTGGTTAAAGAATACCATGCTAATGATATTTGTTGTGCTTCTGGAGATAGTAACATTCTCAAAATGTGAGCAGGTAACAACTTGGGTTTTGAAATCTACTCCTTGCTTATACCAGACATGGTGCATCCCATGCCTTACAAATCAAATTTACCTTTTATTTCAACAGCAAATGTTCCTTAGAGGGGTTACCCTCTTACGCAATTTTTTTTTTTTTTTTTACTTTTGCACATGAGAAGAAAATTTATATGGAATAAATTGGGTCTAATGAGTGACATCATCATGGCATTGCATTGGATTTCCCATAAAGCTTTTCTTATAGAGCTTCTGTTAAAGTTTAAGCAGCCTGTCCTGTCATCTTCTGCAAAAACCAGCTGTTTTTCTCTCTCTCTCTCTTTTTGATGTTGTGTATATTCCTACAGAATTCATTAGGATGCATTGTACCTCCAACCCCGATTGGTGGATGCCCTCGGAGGAGCAGATAAACAAAGTGTTCAGCGACGCTGTCGGTCACGCCCGACAGGGGCGGGCGGTGGGGACTTTCCTGCACAACGGTGGCTCGTTTTATGAAGGGATCGATCACCAGGCTTCTCAGGATGAAGTCTTCAATAAAAGTTCCCAGGATGGATCTGGGGATTAGTGGACAGAATCTTCCTGTTGTAGCAGCCGGTCCTCTCAAGAGTTCCAGTTGTGAATGTCCTGTTCCTGTCACCTGAGAGTCCAAAGCATGTCATTCTGCCATACTCTGCACATACTCAGCTGCCACAGTACCCAAATAGAAATCCATTTTAGGGTTGTTTGGGAAGTCTGTGGTGCCTACAACAGACTTTTGGAATATTATAAAAGGAAAAAACTATGATTTTTAAATGATTACTGGTTAGATGGTGAGGGTGAAAAAATACGTGAGCTCCTAGTTACCTTTCTGAAATCTTCAAACTCTGCTATCTGGGCAGAGATAGTCCCCAGGGTAGGCTGGGGTAGTGTTTCTGCCCATGGGAGAAGGTGGAGACATGGAGTTGTGTTAAGGGACAAGGAGCAAACATTCTCTTAATTCAAGTAAGTTGTCTTTATGTTTTCCAAAGACCTGACTTCGTATTTCTCGGCAAAGGCATAGGATAGATGATATCATACACCATTTTGACATTAATAATGTCTATTACTAAAAGGAAACCAGAGAACAGAGGCAACATCTGCAGACAGTGGTGAATTACAGGTCAGCTGTTTTTCTGTTATTTAAAAGCCACTGTGTTGATGAGGAAGGCACTATTTGATCTCTGGAGTTTACAAACAGTAGTCATTTTTCATTGTTAGTCAAGAAACATCCAAAGATCCAAAACCATTTTCAAATGCTCGGTTTTGTAGGTTAATAAATCCGTAGTTTCCATAGCCTTAAATCAGGCTTTGTTGACACAATGCCAACGTGATGGGTAGAACAATGAAAATTTAAATCAGTTAGTTGTTTGGTGCACTGAAGACCAAACAAGTGGTGTGAGTGATGCTATGCGCTGAATTCACTAGATGTTCTGGCATTGTATACACACAGCTTCAAGGCCATTCTGACAACTATGCAATGGGCTTGTCAGTAATTGCTCTGAAATGTGAGGGTCTTTCTCTGCTGATTTGATCTTTAGAATTTGTATGGAACTTGTTTCCCATTGTCCTTGATGAAAATGTTTCATCCCCACCATGCCTCCTTTTCCCCAATGTTCCCTGTAGCTATGGCTAAGTTAGCACTGTGCTGCCCCCACTCACTATCCCCTGGTTAATTTGTTGAGTTCCATATGTGAAATTAGTGGTAATCTTTGGAACCTTTCCATATTGGCAAATGCTATAGAGGTGCTAGAATCATCATTTCTGAGGGCTTCCTGTTTGGAGTCAGGCTTTCTTTACCAAACTAGTCCAGATTACTACATTCTTTGTGGAGCAAAGGGCTAAATGGACAGCATTTATGGAAGGCTACTCTCATCTGCAGACATGACCAAGGGTTTTGAAAATTGAATGGAGATTCAGGTTGATGAGCATCCATTGATAAAGGGTTTTTTGGCTATTTTTGTCAACATAAACTCATAAATTATCCTTTAGATTTAATACTTAGTTTGCATTCACTATATACAAAGTCCTAGAAATAGGTCTTTCTGTAGCTTTTGCTTATTAGCTTGTTTTGTATTACTAGAATTCATCCATTGAAAAGTTTAATGTTTATGGAGATGGTCATCTGTGTTTTTTCAGTGATGTAGGGGGAACTAATATTTCAATTCTGTTTAGAGAAAATTAAAATTTGTCAGATTTACTCAACGGTATAGGGAGAACTAATACCCAATCCTATTTGGGGCAAATTAGCTAAAATTTGGAAGTAAAAGAAATTATATGGGCAAATGCCATGTTCTTATGGCAACCACGAGACCAGTATCTTTGGCTCTCCAAGGAAGAAAGATCTCTTAAAGCATTTTTAGAGGTCCGAGAAGTCAGTGTCTGTCTTTATGATTTTTTGACAACATGACATCTTTGCTAGAAGAAAAACACCACCATAGCCTCATCTGTTTTTCCGTCTTACCTTAATTTTTCACTGGCCTTAAGTTGTCCTTACTGCTGAGTACATTGTTCTGTTTTTCTGTAGCAACAATATTTGATCACTGCTTTTAAGAAAAACAGACTAGCCCTTCTTATTTTCCTGGAAGTTTGAGGTCCTGAACGTTTCTTGATATCCAAATATCTTGGAGCCCTGTCGTGCTGGCCTTCGCTGAGGCTGAGAGCACTTTCTGCGCTCCCGCTCCATGGCCGTACCTGATGACGCACCTGCACCAGTGCTGCAAGAGCAGGGGACAGCAGCCTGTGGTTTAGCTGTCACTGTTACTCCTGAGAACGCTGCTGTCCCAGGCTTGCCCACCACATTTGTTCCAAAGTTACACCTGGTCTCTTCCTCCCTCGTGCCCATACCAGGTTAATCATTTCTCTATCAGCTGTTTCTCCATCAACAAATTCTGAATGTTGAGACTAATTGTTGGACATCTCTTTTGCACAAGGCTGACACACTCCATACTCAGCATCACACAGCCAGTTCTAATTCCTGGGTCTAGGACTTATGACTTCTGCCTGAGTGAGATGTTCCTACGACTTTTGCCTGAGTGAGATGTTCCGCTGTACTTCTACTGTTCGTGTAACTGCTAGGTTCCTTTAGCCAAGCCTAGCGTTTGACGCAGGCACTGGCAGCCACTGAGGCTATGATACAGCATCAGTGTGGACACTGCTGGCTCCTCTCCTTGGGACATATCCACACTCCCACTTGAGCTTCACCTTTAAGGCTAGTATGTACCTAAGTTCACAATGGTTGTCTGCATGGTCTCCTGATCTTTAAATCAGGACCTACAAAGGATGTTCATTTGTTTTTTGGAAAGGTCCATTGGGCCTCTGTGTAGCCAAGTTAAAAGCTCGCCCACTAAGACAGGATGCTGCCATTGCTCTGTGAGCCTTTCAGCTGAAATCCTTGGAGGCTTGAAAGTGTTGCTTATCATTTTGATTTGATTTTCTACATCTTTATCTGGCAAATGGACAGATTGCTCTCAGAAGAAACTTAGTCATGTCAGCTTTTAGAGTCCTTCTTGAGTCATGTTGGCATTGGTGGTGTAAAATAGATGGAGTTAAAACAGCTCAGGATGCAGCCGTGCCCCCGCCTCACTGGTGAGAGGAGGAGGTCACGGGGCTGGCGTGACAACAAAGACTAAATGTGGCTTTTTTGTCAATGACTACGTGTGGTCCATAAGCCCAGCGATCAGAAGAGCCATACCTACCAAAAGTGACGGTGTCCTGTGTTTTCCACATTAAAATCTTGTTACAAAGATCCTGCTGGCTTTTCACAGTGAGCTGAAGCCCCAAGCTCAGTTCCAGCCAGGCTCAGGATGGCCCTCGAATGATCGGTATTGGATAGTGTAGGCCGGGAGCCTGTGGAGGGGACCAGTATTTTGCAAGCCGTTACTGAAGTCACTTTTCTCACTGATTATTGATGGTGCACTGTTCAAAATGTTATGGCTTAACCTTAGTGTTAAATGCTTTCAAGAAAAACTGTAACCATTTCAATTTTACAAGTACTTTCTCGTTTTACTTGAACATTTTACAAGTACCTTCCCTATTTACTTGAAAATATTTCCTCTAGCCCTTGAACCCGGGCATCACTTTTTTGGTTTTCCTCATTCCACTACAGCATTTAGGTGACTGTTACCATTTATGTTTCATTAAGCTTCACTAGGAATGTAAGGATAATATTAGAGCATTTGCAGAAAGTTGCTATCATCTCCTTTGGTAGGGGAATCAAGATACATATGTAGCTACTTCACAGCCATAGAGTTAGTGGGGGTTGTGTATTCTGCATTGTTCCTTATCCCTTCCTCAGTGACAGGCACATTGACATAAGAGATTCCTTCAGCATTAGAAGGAGAGATAAATTATTAACGTTTCTTATTTGATCCAACTACTCCATGTCCCATCAACTAGTGGTAACTGATGTTGATAGGATTTTTTTTAAGTCCAGTAACTATTCTTGCACTGTCAGATGTTTACCCCAAATTAGGCAATAATCCAGACTTTGGATCTATGGGTTTATGATTCCTACATTCTCCTGCCACTCTCAGTGGCTTGTTGCCCCCCTTCTGTTGCTCTCAGAAAATGGATGGAGCATCAGGTAAAGATGAAACATGCACTATGTTCAGAAAAGCAGACATCCATTGCCCTCATTTAGATGCCATCCTTCACTATATGCTCTAGAACCTAAACCTAATACCCATTGACTACCTCCTGAGTTTCTTAGATTTCAATTATTTAAAAAAATCTCATCCATGGATAATAGCTTCAATTTTAGAAAAGATTTAAACGTATAACTTTCCTCATTCAGTGCTATGTCATTTCACAGTACATATCTGCCTTAATTTTTGACAGCTCATATATACAGATATTTAGAAATGTAATAGAAAATGATTTTGCACATATGGTGCAAGTCTTGCTGGTGTATGTTTAATGTGGCAACACGTGCCAAAACTGTTTGGCAAAACATGTCAAATGGAGTGCTTGAGTCAGAACTCTAATGTAAATGTGTCTAAACAGCAGTGTGTATCATTATGATGTATTTTTGTAAACATAGTGATGGCTTCTTTCAGTCATGTAAGTACTGGATAAAAATAACCACTTCACTTGGAATAATGTAGGAAAATGTCACCCAGCGCATGGATAGTCCTCTGCAAAGTTACATTGTCAGCCAGTGGCACTGGTTCTTTTATTTATGTTGTTGTTTTTTTCTGTTTTTTTTTTTTTTGGAGAGTGAAGAATTAACATCAGACAACATGGAGTGCAAAAATAATAACCCGTCAATATTTGTCTTCTAAATGTAAAATGTAAAAGTTTAACTGATTTGTGTACACATTAGAGACCACTTTCACACTCCACAGTATGTTCAGTTACAGGTAGCACTGAGAGGTCGAGACTTCCCTCATCTAATGACCAGCTTGGTTAATTTGACTTCTGAAGGCACTAAATCACCAAGTCTTTGCAGTAATGGTGACCAGATTAATTTTCCTCATAACTCTCTGTAGCTGTCTGATATAAGGGCTGTGTTTTTATTGAATCACAGATCCTCGAATTAGAATGAAAGCACATCTGCTAGTAAGACTCATTTGAAAACTTGTTTATTCTTGCAGTAATCGGGCCAGTACAAGTGGCCAGATGTATCCTGGCCACATTGGAAAACTATTTGGGCCCATTCAGAACCACTTAATTGCAACAACAATAGTAACTATAGTTAATATCTATCTATTGAGTTCTTGTGTGCCAGTTACTTTGATAAGTACTTTAATGCATCCTCATTTTAATCTTCACAGCTACTCTTTGAGGCTGTTTCTGTTCTTATTCCCATTGTATTGATAAGGAAACTGCCCAAGCTAAGAAGAGGATCACTTTGGGCGTAGGAAGCAGAATGATGAGTTCAGTCTTCCTCAGTAGTTGCAGCACAGTTCTCAAAGCCCATCAATACTTTGGAATGGATTTATAGTTTTATTTATGCCATCAAGGGAGAGTGGATATTTGTGTATTACTAAAAACTACTTCTAAAGTATGTCGATACTTAAGTAGGAACATACAAACCATATGTCCTCTGGGAACTGCCCAGGTTTCTGTATAAGGCTTGACCTATGTAAGATCCTATGATGAAGAGCAGAAAACTTTTTTAAAAAGTAGGTGAATTAAAATTAAAATCAGGAGTTTGTTCACTTTTATCTCATAGGTTCCTAGTGCAAAAATGCAGGGAGACAAAAGCAAACATTTGAAGTCAGTGAAGTGAGAGTCTTTGGGAACTCCTTGATGTTAGAAATAGCACCAGGGCATCAGGTAGCCAATGTTCAATTCACTTTTCACGTTTGTGTCTTTGTAGCTTTAGAGCTGATGAGTCTGGTTGGTTTGGAAGAGAGAGTTTTAATTTATGATGTCACTGTGAGAACTGTGGTGAAAATTTTGTAAGAAAATACAGTAATCTGTTGATTCTTTCCTGTAGTTTGGGCTTTCACATCCCTTTGGCTGTGTTTAAGTTCAAGAGCATGCCAAGGCCATGAGGGTCCTGGCTTGTGCTTCTTGGGAACAGGGCATGCTAGCGGTGGGTCATGAAGCTTTCAAGGTCACTGGTCCAGCCTGACCCTGCCCAATTTAAGCATTGCCTTTATGTCTCTCCTCTCTGGAACTTCATGTAGCAGCCTAACACCGGGGCCGACTTGCCTTTACTCTATTTTCTATGATGAATACTTGTGGAGAAACTGTGACAAATTCATTGATCCTGATATTTTTATTGTTGGAGTCTTGTTGATTCTCTATGAATAATTTCTATTTGATTGTACTGTGTAGAGTTGATACCCACTAGGGATATGTTAATAAAACTACAAATGCATAGTGTAATATAGAATAGCAAGATTTTTTTGTGAACAATTTATATAGAAGAGTAAGTTGTTTTTTAAGTGTTAGGCTCATTTCTTTTGGGAACTTAAAATGTTATAAAAGTTTTTTAAACATTCAATATTTTTAATTATAAGAGACATTTGTTACTAGAGCCAATTATTTCAGGTGTTCTAATTGGAGTGTTGATTTTATTACCTCATATACCTCTAGAATGCCACGTGTTCTGTTGGGGATAAAATTGCACAATAAATGTCAAGTCTCTGTTAAGTGTTTTAACTTGCTTTTTGCATCTTTCTAATTCATTGTAAATACTTTTCTGTTTCTTTGAATAGATAACTTTTCTCTCCCTGACGCTAAGAGTTTTCTGCTTGTCTCTGAACATCAGGAAATGTTATATGCTTAATATCCAAATAAAAGATGCTCAGTTTTGTCAGGAAAGTGACCGGAGATCATCCAGAAATTCATTTGATCTAGTGAATGAAAGGCACAGCCAGTGACGATCTCAGAGTGACGTGTAGTCCAAGAGGATTTCCATACAGTATTTTATACATTCACACATAAAGCACACATGCTTGCTGGATGCTGTTCATGGTACCATTTAATCAGGAAGAAAAAAACCTATAGCTGCTGCCCATGACTTTAAAAAATAAACAGATACTGATTATTTATGGGTTTTGAGCAGTGTTCTGCGTACAAAGGCAGAATAGCTATGGTGAAATAAGGGGACATGGTTGTGACTTCCCACTTCTAGTTATTACATAAAATATAAATCTGACATAATCATTGTCAGACAGCATAATTGAATAACTGTTAAGTCAGACTAAGTACAAGCTAAGACAACACACTGTTTCATTTTAGGGAAAACATAAAGGTGTTTTATTTTTGCCCTAGAAGATGAAAACTTTAAGATAGGAGTTTTTGTTTTGGTTTTTTGTTTTGAGACAGGGTTTCACTCTGTCGCCCAGGCGGAAGCACAGTGGCTCAATCATGGCTCACTGCATCTTCAACCTTCCCGGGCTCAAGTGATCCTCCCACCTCAGCTTCCTAAGTAGCTGGGACCACCGGTGCACACGATCGCAGCCAGCTAATTTTTGTAGTTTTTGTAGCTATGGGGTTTCACCGTGTTGCCTGAGCTGGTCTTGAACTCCTGGCTCCCGCCTCAGCATCCCAAAGTGTTGGGATTACAGGCATGAGCCACCATGCCCAGCCTAGACAGTAGTTTTGGATGGAAAAGCAATACGTTAGTCCAAATAATTTTTGTTAGAATATCAAAAAGAAATTAAAGTTATTCTGAAGCATTAAAAGAGGATTATTAAGTAATATGAGCTGTTGGATATTTTGTAGCAAAGCACACATAGGGTAAAGCTACCAACTAAAAAGTATTAGAAACGAGCGGGGCACAGTGGTTCACACGTTTAATTCCAGCACTTTGGGAGGCCAAGGCAGGTGGATCCCTTGAGGCCAGGAGTTTGAGACCAGCGTAGGCAACATGGCGAAACTGTGTCTCCACTAAAAATATTAATACAAAAATTAGCCAGGCATGGTGGGGCACACCTGTAGTCCCAGCTACTTGGGAGACTGAGGTGGGAGGATCACTTGTGCCTGGGGCAGTGGAGGTTGCAGTGAGCTGCAATGGTACCACTGCACTCCAGCCTGGGGACAGAGTGAGACCCTCTTTCAAAAAAAAAAAAAGTTTTAGAAACAAGTTAAGCTGCAGAATACAAAATCAATGTGCGAAAATTGCTTGTACCTTTATATGCTAGTAATACACAATCTGAATGGTATTAAGAAAATAATTCTATTTACAGCCACATCAGAAAGAATAAAATAGGAATAAATTTAACAAAATAAGTGCCAAACTTGTATACTGAAAAAGAGACTGATGACAGAGTATATAGAACTTATGACTCAACAATAAGAACAAAAAGCCCCATTAGAAATAGGCAAAGGATCTGAGTATGTATGCTCCAAGGAAGATATGCAAATGGCCAATACACACAAGAAAAAATACTCAACATTACTAATCACTAGGGATATGTAAATCAAATTACAATGAGATGCCACTTCACTAGGATGGCTAAAATGAAAAAGACGATAACCAATGTTGAGGATGTGGAGAAAGTTGAAACCCTCAGACATTGCTGGTAGGAATGCAAAGTGGCACAGTCACTTTGGAAAACACATTGGCAGTTCCTTAACAAGTTAATCATAGAGTTATTATAGGACCCAGCAGTTCTTCTCATGGGTTCATACTCAAAAGAATTAAAAATAATGTCTACACAAAAAGTTGTACTCAAATGCTTATAGGAACATTATTTATAATAGTCAAAAAGTGGAAATAACCCAAGTGTCCATCAATTGAATGAATAAACAAAATGCATATCCAAACAGTGGAATATTATTCTGCCATTAAAAAGGAATGAAGTATTAAGACACACTAAAACACGAATGAACCTTGAAAATGTATGGTAAGTAAAAGAAGCCAGACAAAAAGCCATGCATTGTATAATTCCATTTATATGAAAAGTCCAGAATAGTCAAAATATTATGTAGGCAGTTTTAGAGAGTGCTGCTCAGTGCACAGTTTACATAATGAAGGAACAGAATATAGTATATAATCACTTCTAAATTTATTATACATTCATACAATATATCAGGAGCCTGATGTGCCTGGCATTGTTATCAGGCACCATGGCCTAAGAACCAAAGTAATACAGCCAATGGCTTGGCAACTATTTGAAGAGAAATGACAAGAGCTGTTAATTATGAGAAAATCCCAAGGTTCGCTGGGCAACTTGTTCCACCATATAAAGCTGTATTCAGGAAGGTGAATCGGGTCGGCTGTGGTGACTCATGCCTATAATCCCAGTGAAGTTGAGCTGGTAGGATTGCTTGAAGCCGGGAGTTTGAGATTGCCCTGGATAACACAATGAGACTCAATCTCTAAAAAAAAATTTTTTTTTAAGCAGAATCAGACATAAAACAAGAGAAAAATACGTGCCAGTGAATCAGTGTCTCTATTAACTGAAGCCAGCTGTTAGATGTGGCCATCTCTTGGTTCTGATTCAGTCCTAATGCTCTGTAGAGATACGGTTTCAGTGTCTCTAATCATTGGTCCTCATGTTTAAGAAACATGTCTGCGTTTTATCTGTAAATTTAAAAAGATATAAAATTGATGTGAAAGAAAAATACGCTTGCAGCTTTAAAAAGCTGCGATAGAATAAAATACATCTAAAGTAGAATATCTTAGTGCTTGTACTTGTCAGTTGTATATTTTTCACAAATTGGGTTAAACCATAGCTTTGAAATACAGCTTTACAATAAACATTCATTGTCATTTCACAAACATTTTATAGACCAAATTGATCCCAATTTTTTTTTTTTTACCTTTTTTAGTATTAAAAATTCCTTGAGGCATGAGAATACTTAAGAACATTCTCGTTTAAGAATGTTTAACGTAATAAAAATGAAATACAGGCTGGGCATGGTGGCTTACGCCTGTAATCCCAGCACTTTGTGAAGCTGAGGTGGACAGATCAATTGAGGCTAGGAGTTCAAAACCAGTCTGGTCAACATAGTGAGGCCCCTGTCTCTACCAAGAAAAAAAAAGAAAGAAAGAAAGAAAAAGAAAATTATCCAGACATGGTGGCACACACTTGTAGGCCCGTTTACTCTGGAGGCTGAAGTGGGAGGATCACCTGAGCCCAGGAGTTTGAGGTTGCAGTAGCACATGATCACGGCACTGCACTTCAGCCTGGGCAATAGAGAGGCACTCTGCCTCAAAAAAAAAAGAACAAAAGAGGAAGAGGAAGAAAGAAAAAGAAGAAAGATAGTCATGCACCACATGGTGACATTTTATTCAATGACTGTATATATGACAGTGGTCTCACAAGATTCTGATACTGGATTTTTACTGTACTTGTTCTTTGTTGAGATACATAAATACCACTGTGTTACAGTTCCCTACACTGTTCAGGACAGTCACATGCGGTACGACAGGATGTCCAATCCTTTGGCTTATTTGAGCCACATTGGAAGAAGAATAGTTGTCTTGGGCCACACATAAAATACACTAATGATAGCTGATGAGCTAAAAAAAAAAAAAAAAAAAAAGAAAAAAGAAAAAATCTCATAGTGTTTTAAGAAAGTTTACAAATTTGTGTTGGGCCGCATTCAAAGCCATCTTGGGCCGCATGGGCCCATGGGCCACGGGGGCGAAGCTTGCTGTACAGGTTTTCAACCTAGGAGCAATACGCTGTACATAGAGTCTGGGTATGCAGTAGGCGATACCATCCAGGTTTGTGTCAGTGCTCCCTGCGATATTTGTACAATTGCAGAATCACCTAATGACACATTTCTCGGAACCTGTCCTCATCATCGAGCAACGCACGCGTGCTAAACAGTAGGCTGTGTGATTGAATAGAAGCAGGGGGACCAGCAAATGTAACTGGAGATACAGACTTTTTTTAAACCCAGGGTTTGCTTCCAGACAAAATAAGGGTTTAAATAGTGACTTTTCACTCTCCACCAGATGCTGGCGAGAAACGCAGGCCCTGACAAGAGATGAGGAAAGGGATATAAACATGTATTCTAGTCTTTTTTTTTTTTTGTACCAGTGACATTGATTCTTTCTCCTTCCTAGCAACACAGAAGCATTTTCAATTCAATATAAAAATATAATAATTATATTTGATTGTGGCTTAACATTATTAACATCTATTAACATTTTGTGCTAAATAATTACCCATTCACTTTCTGGTATGTATTTGGATAGACTTTGTGTGTGTATGTGTTTTGAGACAGGGTCTTGCTCTGTTGCCCAGGCTAGGGTGCAGTGATATGATCATAGCTCACTGCAGCCTCGAACTCCTGGGCTTAAGTGGTCTTCTCACCTCAGCCCGAAAGAGCTGAGACTATAGGTGTGTGCTACTATGCCTGATTAATTTTTTTGCTTTTAGTAGAGACAAGGTCTCACTATGTTACCCAGGCTAGTTTCAACCTCCTGTCCTCAAGTGGTCTTCCTGCCTTGGCCTCCTGAAGTGCTGGGATTACAGGTATGAGCCACTGCACCCAGTGGATAGACTTTTTTTTACAGAAGAATGTCTATGATAGCTTTAAAATAGGTAAAGATTGGGGCTTTTCCTAATCCTTTCACATTTCTCTTTAAAGATATGTAATGAGGAAAATCCTCATGAATCTGTGGGGAACTACAAACATTTGTTTAATGAAGAATTTATAATGCTGGTGAAAAGTATAAAGGATGCCAT